AGTCTGAACTTGACCATTGATTTCTCCAAAGCCAGAGCTTGAAGACGAGTCAGAGGTGAGCTACCTGGCAGCTCTTCTACGTCAGAAAGCAAGGAAGGTTCCAACCCAAACTGTTCTACGTACAAATATCCAGACTTGAGACTTGCTCCGAGCAACAGCTTCAACATGTATTAAGTGGGATGGATCCCACCTACCCTGAAGAAGAAAATACTGCAGTCCCAAAGGGGAATAGCTCAGCTCCCTCCTAAGAATGGTTGCTGTAAGAGATCTCATGATTAACTAAGTCCCTGTAGATTTGGTCTCAAAAGATCGTGTTGTAGCCTCATGAGCAGCTCCTCCCCATGCAGCACCACAGCGAGAGGAACGTTGACTCAGCAGCTGTCAAGCACTTCTGCTTTGGCTGGAAGTACCAAAAAGCCACGTCACATCAGGAGGAGGGAGAACTTGAGGCAACTGCTGAATCCGCGCCTTGTACACAACATACATGGTCCATCAGCAACAACGTGCTCTGCACAGCACAAAGCTGGTGGAGCATGGGTAGGTCTGCTCAAACCCTACCAGTCAGCAAGGTCTAACTTAACATCAGAGACCCCCAATCCAACAGCACTGAAGTTTTTCCAGGTGTTTACGGCCAAAACTTTGTCTAAGTAAGGATGGATGAGGACTAGGCGGTGGAACTGGTGGCCCTCCCATAGGACATGCTGCAGAGCAGGGACAGATCTGCTGTCCCCCTCACCACCAGTGACACAGGTGCTTCGAGAGCAGCACAGAAACTGTCTTACTAGGCCTGATATCAAGCTGTGCTCCAAAAATCTTGAAGTGTCTTCATCCCACCCAAGAGCTGAAGGCTCACAAAAGCCCACGTAGGCAGCTCTTCATCTTCTGACACCAACAGCGCTGGTTTCGCAGAAGGAACACCTCAACCCACGGCGTTAGAGAGGAGAAAGGCACGAGCAGGACACAACTCATTCAGAAATGCAAAGTACCAGCCTGGAGCAAAACCGTGCTGAGCTAAGGGTCGGGCAGGATTGTCACCACTTCTGAAGAACACAGAAGTCAGCAGGAGAAGAGGCACCCTGAGCTCTCTGCGCCTCTCCAGACGGCACAGCGACCTTCCCGTAGGAGCGCCTTTAATAAAGGAACTTCCAGATGTCTTTTTGCACGCGATGCCAAAGTGCCTGTAGAACCAGAAACATTCCAGTTCCACTTCAGACCGTCAACACCTCCAGCTCCCGGTGCGGCTCAGCACGGAATAAACAGCAACGATCTGGTTCGTGTCACTAATTTGGGAATCTAAGAAAAACCACCAGGGAAAATTCTTTCCATGTATTAAGGATTTCCCTTAAAGCAGAAGGTTTAGGCTGTAGTTTTAAGGATACCTGCAGTTTGTTTCCAGGAACACTTGGCATACAACATGTATATTATTAAAAAAAAAAAAGAAAAGAAAAAGGAGTTGGCAGTGTTAGGTTAATCATAGAATGAATCATAGAATGGTTTGGGTTGGGAGGGACCTCAAAGATCATCCAGTTCCAACCCCCCTGCCATGGCCAGGGACACCCTCCACTACACCAGGTTGCCCAAAGCCCCATCCAACCTGGCCTGGAACACTGCCAGGGATGGGGCAGCCACAGCTTCTCTGGGCAACCCGTGCCAGCGCCTCACCACTCTCCTGGGTCCTAATGGTTGGACTTGATGATCTTCAAGGTCTTTTCCAACCGAAACAATTCTATGCTTCCGAGCAATTAGCTGCCAGGAAAGCTTCAAACCCAAGGGAATTACTGACCTCCAGCTGCAACTTGAGGTTGTTAGCGGTGCTTCCTCGGCCATCGCCCAGCTCTGTCATCCAAATCCAGAGGAGAGATAAGCCGTGACACTCCAGGAAGGACTTCAGGCAGGACTGCGAGTGCGTGTTCTGGACGAGCCAAAGTTAGAGAGAGTCCGTTGGAACGGTCAGAGTCTTGCAGGCAATAACCCCCTTTGATTTGCAGAGTCTCACATGGCCAACTGCTCAACTGGGCTTACATCACCTGTTCAAGCCCGCTGTAGAAGCCAGGACAGGCACCTGCCAACATCAGCGCACGTCTACGGCCATTTTAAGTGGCCGTGACTGCTGGCTTGGGAGCAGCAATGGACGCAGCAGAACCGTTACCACCGCTGTCTGGTGGCCAGCTCCTACTGGGGAATCCAACTTAACGACCACGGATGGTACAAAAAACTGGCTGCAACTCATCTGCAGGCAGTCAGGGTAAAGACGCAGGATCATCTCGGAGGTCAGGTGGCTCTGGCTCCAAGCTGACACACCACTTGTGCAAACGCTAAACCCTTGGGTACAAGGACTTATTTCCTTCTAGGAAGGAAGGTGCCACCACCCAGGCTGAGTGCCACCAAATCTACAAACGGAGCAGAACCGCTCGGCTCACGCTGGGGATGCTGGCACGAGTGCAAGACCTTCCTCCCACCTTCCCCTTCCTCCTCCAAGGCCACGGCTTTCCCAGGACATGGCTTCCTCCCCTTCAGCTGGGACCTCCTCACCTGTATGAGCTTGAGGCAGGTGAGCTTCTGCTCCAGAGTTTCGATCCGAACCATCAGTCGGGATAAGCTGAGAACTTGGTTTTTATCGGAGAGACCTTCTCCATTCTCCAGCAGCGCTTCCAGCTCCCCGTCCACCTGCCACGGCCAAAGAAAAACAACTCTCAGGCGGTGCCAGGCTCGTGCCACCCTATGTGATGGCAGAGACAATCCATTCCCGGGCTTGGAGAGCCGGGAGAAGCCTCTCCCGAGCAATTTGCCCAAACAGAAAAGAGGCCTGGCTTTAATTTGACTCAACGTGGTTGGGTTTCTTTCATCTGGCTTATTATGGGGTGGGTTTTTTTCACACCGGGGACAGAGTGCCACCAGTTGTGCTCCTGCCTGACACACACGCAAGAGGCAGGAATCCCTCGAATAATATCACAGAATCCCAGACTGGTTTGAGTTGGAAGGGACCTCAAAGATCACCCAGCTCCAACCCCCCTCCCATGGGCAGGGGCACACTACACCAGGTTGCTCAAAGCCCCATCCAACCTGGCCTGGAACACTGCCAGGGATGGGGCAGCCACAGCTTCTCTGGGCAACCTGTGCCAGTGCCTCACCACCCTCAGGGCGAAATTTTTTCTTATATTTAATCTAAATCTCCCCTCTTTCCATTTAAATCCATTGCCCCTTGTCCTACCACTACATGCCCTTGTAAAAAGTATCATCTTGATGATGGAGATATCCATTCCATCTTGAAGACAGAAATATCCATCTCTCCTAACCACCGGCACGTTTTAGATGCACACGTCTAACGCTGTGCAGAGGAAATTCCAGGTGTGTGCACCAAAACACTCCCAGTCACAAGGTTCTCTTCTCACACCGACAACAGATGTGCACCACGAGATTATCTGTAACTGGTGACAGATTTACTTCTTGAAACATCTAACAGGTATTTACAATCTTTACAACCAGAGGCACATTCCTCTCCTCGCGGACACCGAAACATCGATGTCCATCATTTCACCTACTGCTCAGTGCCGCCAATTAACATTTTAAAACCACTTATAAACCATTTATAAATGATTTCTTGGCTTCCTGCCTCTCCGACACAGTCAATAAAAATGAAGTTGGCCTTTTGAAAGGTAGCTTCTCCCAAAAGAGCAGGTAACAAATTTGCTTTGCAGGAATAAAGATTTATCTCTTCGAGGAGAGAACAATTACGTCTCGTAGGAAGCAAACGGAGCCCATCCAGTGTCTTGCAGAGGTCTGCACCCAGGAAAAACTCCGTTTGACTGCTTTGCTCAGACTTCTCTGCGGTCTCCGACACCCACCACGTGAACCCATCGCTGCAATTCAACGCAGGGAGTAGGTTCACAGAATCATAGAATCATTGAATGGTTTGGGTTGGAAGGGACCTCAAAGATCATCTAGTTCCAACCCCCCTGCCATGGCCAGGGACACCCTCCACTACACCAGGTTGCCCAAAACCTCATCCAACCTCTCCTTGAACACTTCCAGGGATGGGGCATCTACAACTTCCCTGGGCAACACATGCCGGTGCCTCACCACCCTCAGAGGGAAGAATTTCTTCCTCAGATCCCATCGAAATCTCCCCTCTTCCAGTTCAAAGCCATCGCCCCGTGTCCTGTTACTACACACCCTTGTCCAAAGCCCCTCTCCAGCTTTCCTGTAGCCCCTTTAAGTACTGAACCACTCAGACTTCTCTGCGGTCTCCTACACCTACTGCATGAACCCATCACTGCAATTCAACGCAGGGAGTAGGTTCATAGAACCACTTGTGGAGGATTACATGCATGAAAAGCTATAAAAAGACTGAAAAAAAGCTTGGATTTCATATTTCAGTCACGTCCATCTGCAAACACAACCGTAACTGAAGTCAGCGCAAACACTACGCAGGTTCGTACAAGCTCCACCTGGAAGCTGACTTGCCTCTAGGCCAAAGCAATTAAGAGATTCAAATTCCACGTCCCAGCCTGGAGAAGGCAAACATCTGCACCCTTTCAGCTGTCAAATTTCAGGTGACGTCCTGAACGGCCAAGTCGGTGTTGTTTGTCTTTCACCGACGTTTAAAAATCACACAACGCAAAACAAATTCGGAAAACCATGTAAAATTTAGTATGTTTTTTTAGCAGCATGTGGCACTGATGACCAGATTCCGTCCCTGTGAAAGTCCCTACTCTGTGCTAAGTCACCCTGAGAAAAGAAATACACATTTTAACCAAAGTTCCAAGAAAACACAACTGTTGAGGGCCCCTATGAAATAAAATTACCTAAATACACCCACGGAAAAGACTGAACCTCGAGGTGATTATAGAATCATAGAATCATAGAATGGTTTGGGTTGGAAGGGACCTCAAAGATCATCTAGTTCCAACCTCCCTGCCATGGGCAGGGACACCTTCCACTACACCAGGTTGCCCAAAGCCTCATCCGACCTGGCCTTGAACACTGCCAGGGATGGGGCAGCCACAGCTTCTCTGGGCAACCTGTGCCAGTGCCTCACCACCCTCAATGTAAAGAATTTCTTTCTTATATCTAACCTAAATCTGCCCTCTTTCCGTTTAAATCCATTGCCCCTTGTCCTATCATGACTACAGAGGTGACCTGAAGACTCCCGTAGCCACGATCCAGCCCCGAGCCAGCCCTTGGTTGCTGCTACTCTTAAAAATCAATTACAAAAACTCCTACGGAGGAGAAGCAGACTCAGACTCACCGAGTCCTTCTTACGGGAACGCTCCTTCTTCATCTTCCCTCCGGCGGCTCGGATGCTCACCCTGTTCTCTCCTCCCAGGTAACCCCGGCAGTTGGCCGAGCCGCAGAAACATTTCTGAGCCTCTTTGCTGGTGGTGGGTACAAACCACAGAGCAGTTTAATAACAGCTCAACCGTATTCACGGCGACTTATTTTACCTTAATCTCTACGTGCATCCTCAGAAGAAAAGGACGGGAACTTTTCTGCATGGCAAGGCCTTTCTGGCCACTGAAAATTCAAACAAAGTCTTTATTTCTTATGTAGCTACCGTGATCCCATGTCGTCTCAGCTGGAAACCAAAGCCTGCTTCACTTCCAGGCTCTGAGTAGGTTAAGAACCAAGAACCAGAAAGGAAAAGGTGGGGCTTTGGGATCTGCTAACTTCTTACCACGCATCGCAATCATCTAAGATTATATATTTGTTAGGGAAAAGGCTTGAATTTTATTGCTCGAAAGAGGAGAAAGAATGGGTTGAGGATTTGTGGAAGGAGTAAGATTCAGGTGGAAGATTTTTTTTTTCACAGATGTACAGCCACAGAAAGCAGAAGAGATTTAAATTATATAAAAAGCCTCTGTATCTATACTTGACAGACCATAAATTTTTAACTATAATCCACAATTGCTTGGGAGAATGGGTTGGGGTTTTTTTGGAAATGTACATAATCCACTGGAGGACCTTGGCTCTGCAGTAAGAACCAGGGAAGCTCAACCACAGGATTTTCTATGAAGCAGAACCTGAGCCCATGAAGGACGCCCAAGAGATCATCAGAGCTGGAGAACTCCAGCGAGGTGAGACTAAGTTCACCAATATCTCAAATCTGATTCTCCTGCTCACAGGAAGAGCCATAGCGCTGCAGAAGGCAGGATCCAGAAGGAAAAGGAAGAGATGCTCCTTAAAACAAGTGTATTCAGTTAAAACAAAAAAAAGCTTAGGGATTATAAAATGGATTTACAACTCATCTCATAATTACAGGTTGCATCGAGCCTGTCAGGGGTTATTTTGTGCTCATCACAATAATAAGAAGAAAATACTTGGCCATACACCTGGGCAAGCAGGAATATAAAAATATCAGGCTCAGGTGTAGAGAAGGGAACCAAAACCCACGCCGCAGCTTGCACATCTGCACTTCTGGAGTCGGACAGGAAGGGAGAACGTGTTGTCTGTCGGGGTTTTACGGCTCAGCAAGTATTTGCAAAGTCGTAAAGCAGGGGTGGGCGGGGAAGAAGAGGCATTATTTAAGAGTCTTGCAAAGTCTGGAGCCTGGGTAATTAATAATTAGACAGGGGAAAGAAAGAGTCAAGGTAATACTTTAGGAAATTCCCACTGGGGAGAGATGGCATGGAGTGGAACAAAAAGGCAGTAAAGTGACACTGGAAAAGACAAATTAAATCAACAGGAAATTCCTCTCCCAATCTCTTGTGTTAGAAATGGAAGAAACTTTATCCCAGTAGCTTCTCGTATAGTCAAATTCCAGTTCATTTACCACCGCGCTGTTACACGAGGCTTTGCAACGGTTTGTTTCAGAGCAGGATGTTTTTCATGGCATTAACACTCACAAACTCCCAATTCCAGCAGCTTAAGTAGGGAGAGCTGAGACGTACCCGTATCTCTGGAACTGGTAATCGAACGTCAGCTCTGAGCCTGATGGGACCAGTTTGGTGGTGAAAAACCCAACTCTGAGCTGCCCATTCACGGTCCACTAAGGCAAGGAAAAAACAAGACGACAGTTATTACAACAGCCAGGCTCGACTTTGGTTTTGCTTTAAAATAACAAGATTCATCCTTCAAACGGCGTCACCGATAAATTTTAAATTTACAAACTGGTTCGGCAGTACTCGCCCGTTTCAAAGGTAGTTGTTTCCATTTCACTAAGTTACAACTACAAGAAAAAAAAACAACCCAAAATAAAAGAGACACAAAGGAGAAAGGTTTTTCACTCCCAGCTCGGGCAGCCGTGAGGCGGTGGAAGTGAGAAGCCGGCGGCTTTGATCCAGCACTTTACCTTTTGTGTCTCGCAGTTTGGTTCACAGCTGTGGTTCATAAAACGGGAGCAGTTTCCTTTCTGGGTAGCATCGATTATCTGAAAAGGAAAAGAAAAAGAAACAAATACAGTTGAACAGCCTCCCTCTCTCTGAGCCAGGCAGAAACACAAATAATAGAGTCACAGAGTCCCAGAACGGTTTGGGTTGGAAGGGACCTCACAGACCACCCAGTTCCAACCCCCCTGCCATGGGCAGGGACACCCTCCACTACACCAGGTTGCCCAAAGCCCCATCCAACCTGGCCTTGAACACTTCCAGGGATGGGGCAGCCACAGCTTCTCTGGGCAACCTGTGCCAGTGTCTCACCACCCTCTCAGTGAAAAATTTCTTCCTTAGATCTAATCGAAGCAGCACAGCTACAGGCACCACGTGTCTGAACACAGCCCATGTAGGTGTCATCGACCTCTCCTGCTCCAGCTGTTAACTGGATGTCGTTTGGAGAACGGGTTTTCTAACGATATTAAGTGTCCCCAAAAAAGAAGAGCACTAAGCCACTGGTACGTGGTTCTTAGTTTTCATTACAGGTTAATACAGAGTTCCTCAGTTGGGTGGGGATCCTGAATTTTTAATATCGGGTTCTGACCCTCTGATACATGGTACAATGACCATGAGGGCTGGAGAGGGACTTTTTAGAAGGGCATGAAGAGATAGGACAAGGGGGAAAGGCTTTGAACTGAAAGAAGGGAGATTTAGATTGGATCTAAGGAAGAAATTCTTCCCTCTGAGGGTGGTGAGGCACTGGCACAGGTTGCCCAGAGAAGCTGTGGCTGCCCCATCCCTGGCAGTGTTCCAGGCCAGGTTGGATGGGACTTTGGGCAACCTGGTGTAGTGGAGGGTGTCCCTGCCCATGGCAGGGGGGTTGGAAGTGGATGATCTTGAAGGTCCCTTCCAACCCAAACCATTCTGGGATTCTATCATCTCTGCCACATGGACGATACTCAAACAGAAAGTTCATCTCCTGGATCACCGTGTCCTCCCTTTTATAACTGGAAACGCTCCTCTGAGCCCCCTTGTGATCATACAACAATCCCGCGGCAGCTACGAAAACCGCTTCGTTTGGGGGAAATAAAGAGGAAAAAGCCACTCCGAGGATTTTCAGCTCTTTTACTGGAAAGCTACTCAGACCCAAAAAGATCCTGCAGGCAGGGACTCCACCAGATAAAAGTGGCTCGATTTAACGTCACTCTGTGAGCAAGGGAAGTGAGGAAATGTGGTTTACTGGTCCATTTTCTCAACTGGTTTGCTTGGGCACCCAAGAGCATTGTGTTTGGCTTGAAGCATCTCCCCACACTGGGACCCAGATGTGGTTTCTCTCCCATGGGAGAGATGTGGTTTCTCTGCTCGTGGGGAAGGGATGGGCTCCACTCCATCCTTTCCCTTGGGAGGACAATTTCTCTTCTCCAAGGATGCTGGGATACAGCTAAGCTACAAGATTTCTGTTAAACCAGGTTGAAACTGAGCAATGGGTTAAGAAAAAAACGTAAGGTGTGACAACACAAAGCCAGGCAAAGTTCCCTTCCCTTAGGAAAACACTCCTCAAAGATTCGGGACGTGGCTTAGTGGGTTCACAGGGCTAAGCCCAGCCAGGCTCCCCCAAGCCAAGCACAGCAGTCGCATCGCTCACCTCGTCGTTCTTCAGGGCCATGAAATAATAATGAATGTTCTTGTTCCGGGCATATTCCTTCACGCGAGCCTTGAATTCTTTGTGATCCAACACTTCTCCGCAGTACTCCAGGACAAAAGTGTTGCTGGAAAACCCAAGAGGAAAAATGAGCCGCGAGAAACCCCAAGGAACACAGAACAACCGCTTTGAGACGGGCTCTCCGAACACAACTCGCACCCTGGTCATCCTGGTGGTGTAGCTACGACTATTATACACCTTCATCTCAGGCAATTTGGATTTAATTTAATTTTTTATGCTCTCACATGGGCAGGTGCATCACAGCGAAAAGCCCAGGCACAAGAATAAAGCTCCCTTTGAGCAGGTTTATTCCGTAAAAGAACAAGACCTCTGGGCGATGCGAAGAGGAAAATAAGGAGCGTTAGGAGAAGGTGCTGGCAGGTGGTTTTCCTCTATCGAAACGGAAAGCCTGTCTGCACCTTGCTGGTCCGGTGGTGAGACAAGAGGGGTCAATAAAACATTCTTTTGAACCATAGGAAAGGTGAATTTAAAAGCAGAGATGGAAGAGAACTCTGACCCAAGCCTCACAGATGTGTTCTGCAGCGCAGTTGGGCTTTCAACCCTCCAGTCTACGAAGGCGCGCTGTGAACCAGCTTTCCTGACGCCCGTCCCAAGTTCTCCCTTGCTTAACATCACCGTGAAGCCTTCAACTGCTTTCCTTGTGCTTAACCTGGAGAGCACCAGGAAAGCAAAAGCTCCTGCCCAGCTCCACCTGGAGCGAGGGCTCAGTGTTTTGGGCACGTATCCCTCACCCCACTTCCTTCCCATCGTTAATTCCAGCCCCTCGCACAGTACCATGGTGGCCTTCCAGCCCACATGTATGAATTATGACTGTCTTCCCCCATCTCTGTGTCCACCCAAAACCCAGTTCTGGTACAATAATCTGCTCTTTCAGTTTATAACTCAGCCGGATCTTTCTCCTTGATGTCTCTTCAGCCTGCGGACACTGACATGGAGGTGTCGGCAACGGTCTTCTGATGACCTGCTGCTTAGTTGGGTTGGCGCCCCTCAAAGTCTTCACTACAAAACTGCAAGCCTGGGAGACAGGGAGCAGAGTGAAGCTAGAAATATCTTTGAACAAACTCAAATCAGGCGGGATGGATCATCTGCTGGGTGTACAACCTCTGCACCCTTCACTGGATTGGTGACTGCCCACAGACCGTCTTCTGGTGGGATGACTACCAAGAGAAGGTTGTCTTCTTCCAAGACAAGCTTCAGCTTCGCAGCAACGTTCTGCCAGTCTGTAAATCTCTCTCCAAACGAGCGATTTTCAGAGTAGCACAGGCAGAAACAAAAGCAACGTTCCAGCCAGCCCCAGACCTAGGTCACCATATCAAGAGTTGAGGAACCACAACCAAACCCCTTGACACACACAGGCCAATTGCAGCCAATACTTTTGCTGCTCCTCTTGATTTATTTACCCTCTTACCCAAGGCAGTCTTCACATCGTTATCTCCTTCCCATCCTTCTTGACATTCCTGATCCCAGCCCACCTGGCAAACATGATGCTTCAGCATCAGCCACATCTTTACTACAACCTCCAGACCTTGGCTTCAAAAGAAACTTCTAAAACCTTCAATAAAACCGGACCCGATGTGTGCATATAGGGCAGCAGCACCGCTGCAGTCACCATCACCACCACTTTCCTGCACCATGTGTTACCCCAAAACCAACAGGACCTTCCTCTGGCCAAGGTCAGGTCCAGCAGCGCTAAGGACTCGCCAGGTTATCCGGCAAATCTGGAAAATCAGGAAGCAGAAAACGCCACGGCTTCTTCTTCTGTGCAAGGGAACGGTGCCGGAGAGCGCTCGCTCGTTTTAACGACCACTTAACGCCGTTACCTTTTCCATAAACACCATGTGAAGGTTGAACATATCGGGTGGAAAACCTAAATTTGTTTTCACTGGATTTTTGGTAACTCAACACGCCTCTCTAAAGCAATTAAAACTCATCCACGCATCTTCCTGTGAATCACTCTCATGCATTCCATACAGCAGTAAAAAAAGTCTGCTGGAAGACCTACAGCTTGCTTTAGAGTGTCAGAAACATCGCTGGATTCCTCAGAACACTTTGTCTTCAACAGAAGTGAAAAAAAAACCACAACAGAAATCAGAGTTTCCACGGAAACTCACTAAAACATCCCGAGTTACAGATAATCTTTGCACAAATAAGTTCCAGGCGGATTGTCTCGGAGCTCAGTCTCTGGTGTGACTGAGACTGACCAGGCTCATGTGTCCATCCCGCAGCCTTTTGAGATGGAAATCAGGAGGCTGGTGAAACTCCCGAGCCCACAGCTCTGCTTCCCCATGGCAAGAGGCTCCAGCCATTTCTTCTCCCAAGTCTGTTGGTTTTCATCTGCAGAGCAGCAAAACCAACTTCTGCTCAGATCTGAGAGGACACCCACACCCACATGACCCCAGTGAAGTCGGAACCTGGGGGACAAAAATCCACCCGGGTCTTCTTGCTAGCTGTAGGAGCGTGGAAGTTCACCACAGCTGCTCTCACCTGGAGACACCTTCCACCTTCCTCCCTTCTCCCAGCAAACCCCATCTTTGTCTCCTGCTTGTCCTGCTCCTCCTGCTGCACCTTGTGCTTCAGGTCCCAGCAGTTCTTTGAACATCCTCGCTCCTCTCTCTTCTCTCGTGGCCTCACCTAAAGTTCTTTTTACTACTGGGAGTATGAGAAAGCGCTCAGCAAGGCAGAAGGCAACTCCTTGAAGGCACTCCCATCTCAGACCTGCTCCTTGCACGCACACCTGAAGAGCAAAACGGACCTGGCACTATTCTTCTTCCCAGCCACACTCGCTTTTTGAGTGGAACAGTTTCTGAACAGGACTGTGATTCCAAAAATATCGGCATCCATCCCACTACAGACCCAGGAAGGGACCGATGGGTTCAAGCACCGTGTAGCTCTTGTGTTCAAGTCCCACCAGCTCCTTTGTGCCAGACACATGTCGATAAAGGCACCGATCCAGGCACAACGGGCAAGTAACACCTGGCTGTAGCCAAAGAGATACGAGTCAAACACGGACTCGGATCTGTAAGCATGGCTGATGTCAAACCAGCACTGAGAAGTACAGCCATTAACTAACAACAGGCTAACGAGGGAGGAAAGATCCCCACTGGATCTTCCAGTAGTCCGAAGGGGAGGAGGAGGAGGACTCGAGAGGAGGATAAGTCTTGCAGAGGAAGGAAGAGAAGAAGAAGAGACATAACCAGAGCGTGTGCTCCTCTGACACCGCGTAGAGGGGACAGAACAGGAGGAGAAGACAGACTGAACACAAGGTGAAGCTGCAGTAAAACTGTCAAATGAGACGAGGGCAAAACCAGAGCAGGAGATCTAACACGCAACTAGCGGGCACGTACGTGCTGATGCCAGGGACACCTGACAGAGGACAAGGACAGCAGATAAAGCTGGAAGAACTTCAGTAAATCCACCAATGTCGGTGAAACTGGGAAAACACAAGCAACTTGTTTTCCCCTCAGGAGGGAGTAAAATAGCACGAGGACGTCATTTGAAGAGCAAAGGCTTACGATGGCAGATCTTTGGCAGCTCTCAGCCCCCAGCCTTTCTTCTCAGTGAGGATCACTTCAACATCGGCATGCTGTTTCTTCTGGAAGCGCCTGTTGGAGCAGTAGTCGCCGTTCGGGCACCTGGAAGAACTAAGGGAAGGAAACGGAACAAATGAATTCCCAGCGGGTCGACAGCGACAACAGGAACGGCTCAGATGGGAAACAGATACCAAGTAACCATAATGAATTCAGCGTAAAGCCTTCAAACGTGTTTTGCTATAAAAAGCATAACCATCTGACTGTCAGCATGCAAATGCAGACCATTTATTTCTGGAAGGAAGAGAAAAGCATTTGGAATGCCAACGCCGCTGTACTTCTATGTCAGATCATCAAAACGGGATGAACTGGCCTCTTCTCCCCACGTTTTTATGGGTGCTTCCCCCAGGAGATCCCCTTCCCTTACATCTACCACCTGGGCTATGAAATAAAACCCAAAGGACCAGGCTTCTGCCAGGTGATTCCTCTCCTTCTACCCCAGCTGGTGACAATCCTCATGCCAGGGGGTGAATCCCACTAAGCGCCCTGTCCTCTGTCTCCTGTTCACGGAGCCCTCTTCTCCTGGCCTCTTCCAGGAGGGAAAAGGAGACAACAGCCATAGCCTGGTTAAGGCTCTGGGTTGAGGAGAGAGCTGCAAGAGGAGAACTGAGACGAAATAAGGATCTCAAGTAGAGCTACGTTTGCATTCCTGACTCCCTCCAACCACGCTTACGATGGACTAGGGTTAAGGCTGAGGAGCAGAAGACTCCAGGCGTTCGCAGCAGGTTTTAACAGGAGGTCACCAAGGACTGGCCTCCTGCAGAAGATCTAAGGTCAGATTTACATGCTGGTGCATAGGTTCTGAAGATCATTCCACACCAGCCAGTGAAAATGAGAGTGTCATTGCCACTGCCCAGGAAAGTCTGAATTCCTTCAGGGGCTCCTAAGTCATCTCGTCGTGGACAACACCACCCGAGACTGGCAGCTCATGAAATGCTACGTACCACTCGATCATGAGCAGGCGATTGAGACAGTCTTCTCCACAAGCAACCTCCCCCTGAGCTCGCTCTTCTTTGGAGAGGGGAGGGCATTCGCACAGCATTCGCTTAATATCCCGGTGAGATTTGTTCTTCTTCCTGTTGCAGGCAAGTCATTGAAACACGGGTTAGACAGCATCTGGGTAGAGGAATTACCCCTCGGTCTTTACCAGTTGTTACTGGAGGAAATTATTCTATGGATTGATTACCTTTGGACAACCACAAGAAGGTACAGGGGTAAGCGAGGACACTGGGTTTCTTTAGAGCGGGAGGTGATGACTTTCTGATCACAGAAGACGACTTCTCAGAAAGACATCCCAGGATATTTAAGGTTTCTTTCCCTTCTCCTCAATGCCCACAACTCAATTTTGCTCTCAGCATAGATGTCTGCACGCACAGGCACCTACAGCCATAGGAAGGACCAAAGCCCCTTCATTTTGCCACACAAGAAACCAACTTCCAGAAAACTCACTCCTGATTTTTCTAGACAGAGGATTTCTCCCCACACAGCCCAAGTCCTAAGGTTTAAATTTTAAGGATAAACTTGGATTAGCCTCTCGTGAAATACTATATTCTGCAATCACACATAACAGTACGGAGATAATCTCCGAAGATCCCTTCCGATGTCAGCCATTCCGCCGTAGCCACTGGGTTCCACTGATCCAAAAGCCAGGAGAAAACCTGTATTTTGAAACACTAACATACAAACCATCACTGGAGCACACCTACCTTTCCAACATAACATTATTTAATAAAGCAAATTGGAGGGTTTAGCTACTCAACTCTCTTGCCTTATTGTCAAATAGGACGACAAAAAAGAAAACAAGAAAATTGCAGTTATGGAAAAGGCAGGAGATCAAAGGCATCGAGTAATTGATATTTTAGTTGCCAGGAGATGAGGAGGGAAACGCTCTGGAGTGTGGATCCCCGCAAGATAAAAAAAGGCTTAAGAAAAAAAACAAAAAACAACCTTGGATTGAAATAAATAGCAGGCTTTATCTGCATGTGAGTGGTTAATATTCAGCCTCTGAATGAAGAATACATCTTAAAATGTACTTATTAAAAAAAAAAAAGCTATTTTAGTGAACAAAAGACACGGCAAAGCCTTGAGTGTTAAGACCCCAACAGGTGAAGCACAACACGATTTAAACAGCACGCTGTTGGCTGCACCCAGAGCAGCGTGGGCAGCAGGGCGAGGGAGGGGATTCTGCCCCTCTGCTCTGCTCTCGGGAGACCCCCCTGCAGTGCTGCCTTCAGCTCTGGGGTCCCCAACATCAGAAGGACATGGAGCTGTTGGAGCGGGGCCAGAGGAGGCCATGGAGATGATGGGAGGGCTGGAGCACCTCTGTTCTGGAGACAGGCTGGGAGAGTTGGGGCTGTTCAGCCTGGAGAAGAGAAGGCTCCAGGGAGACCTTCCAGCACCTTCCAGTGCCTAAAGGGGCTACAGGAAAGTTGGAGAGGGGCTTTGGACAAGGGTGTGTAGTGACAGGACACGGGGCAATGGCTTTGAACTGAAAGAGGGGAGATTTCGATGGGATCTGAGGAAGAAATTCTTCCCTCTGAGGGTGGTGAGGCACTGGCACAGGTTTCCCAGAGAAGCTGTGGCTGCCCCATCCATGGCAGTGTTCCAGGCCAGGTTGGATGGGGCTTTGGGCAACCTGGTGTAGTGGAGGGTGTCCCTGGCCATGGCAGGGGGGTTGGAACTGGATGACCTTTGAGGTCCCTTCCACCCCAAACCAGTCTGTGATTCTGTGACAAACGGGTTTCAAATTGGCCCACATGAAGCGGCCCCTCGAGCTGGTGCTGCGGTCGGTGCCCTCACTGCTGGTGAGCACCAGCGCTCAGTACCCGACTCTCCGGCAGGAATAGCTGTTACTCAACCAGCCTGGAGGAATGAGGAGATGAAAAAGGACCACGAAGTGAAATGAAATGGCAAGATTAAAGAGGCATAAATCATCAGGAGGTTTTACTGCAGGCTGTGCCAGGAATAAGAATTGGTTGCAAGGTCATTAAGGAGCTCTCACCTACGCGTTGAAGCCAAAGCGAGTGGGTTTTTGGCAAGGAGGTCACTGAGCCCTGAAGTAGCATAGTTACTAATCACCCCTAAAGCTCAGAAAAACTTAATTGCTTTTTTCAAGGGGTCACATCCCGCTCAACATTCCCGTGCAAAACGGAAAAGGATAATCTGCAGCCAACACCTACCCTGATATTTCAAATTATAGTCTGTTAAAATCTAGAAAAACTCATCTGAAACGACAAATAACTGCATGCAAGTAACCAAAGCTTTTGGAAACACACGTTGTTTGGCCAAAACTTTGCCGACACCCAGATTTCTCCACGTCTTCGGAGAGGGAGCAGGCTGCTATTTGGGGATACTACAGAGACAAGAACTGGCAAGCACAGAGGTGATGGGAATCACAGAATCCCAGAATGGTTTGGGTTGGAAGGGACCTCAGAGATCATCCAGTTCCAACCCCCCTGCCATGGCCAGGGACACCTTCCACTACACCAGGTTGCCCAAAGCCCCATCCAACCTGGCCTTGAACACTTCCAGGGACAGGGCAGCCACAGCTTCTCTGGGCAACCTGTGCCAGTGCCTCACCACCCTCAGAGGGAAGAATTTCTCCCTCAGATCCCATCGAAATCTCCCCTCTTCCAGTTCAAAGCCATTGCCCCGTGTCCTGTCACTACACGCCCTTGTCCAAAGCCCCTCTCCAGCTTTCCTGTAGCCCCTTTAGGTACTGGGAGGTGCTGGAAGGTCTCCCCGGAGCCTTCTCTTCTCCAGGCTGAACAGCCCCAACTCTCCCAGCCTGTCTCCAGAGCAGAGGTGCTCCAGCCCTCCCATCATCTCCGTGGCCTCCTCTGGCCCTGCTCCAACAGCTCCATGTCCTTCTGCTGTTGGGGACCCCAGAGCTGAAGGCAGCACTGCAGGGGGGTCTCAGGAGAGCAGAGCAGAGGGGCAGAATCCCCTCCCTCGCCCTGCTGCCCACGCTGCTCTGGATGCAGCCCAGGACACGGTTGGCTCTCTGGGCTGCTGATATATGGCTCTGGGCTTTAATGTAGCTGCACCAAGTTCAGATGAACAGTGGACAACAGAGGAAAAAAGCAAAAAACTTGGGAAAAAATTTAATTACTCTTCCAAACTACCACAAGTACAAGAATAACATGTTTAATTGGTGCTGATGCCAATAATCCCACATGCACAAATCCTGCCTGATACCCAAATCTATGCTAGACAAAGGGGATGCTGCAAGACGGCTGAGAAGAGGGTGTAAATAAATCATCCTCCCCCAACACTCTCCTGTCTTCTACCTCTTCTCATCACCAGGGCCTGTCTGGACCCAACTGGGGTTTTCTATTTAGGAGAAAAGACCCAGGGGGGGTTAAATACTTGCCCAGCATCGTCAGAATCATAGAATAGAATCCCAGAACGGTTTGGGTTGGAAGGGACCTCAAAGATCATCTAGTTCCCTGCCATGGCCAGGCACACCCTCCACTACACCAGGTTGCCCAAAGCCCCATCCAACCTGGCCTGGAACACTGCCAGGGATGGGGCAACTTCTCTGGGCAACCTGTGCCAGTGCCTCACCACCCTCAGAGGGAAGAATTTCTCCCTCAGATCCCATCGAAATCTCCCCTCTTTCAGTTCAAAGCCATTGCCCCTTGTCTTCTCTACAAGCACTTTGCTAGACATCAGGAACATGACGTCTCTCCCTCCAAATTATCCCAGTTTGCCCATAAAAAAAAAAAGGTATAGAATCCTAGAATGGTTTAGGTTGGAAGGGATCTTAAAGATCATCTAATTTCAATCCCTCTGCCATTGGCAGGCACACCCTCCACTACACCAGGTTGCCCAAAGCCCCATCCAACTTGGCCTTGACATTTATTATGTATTTGGTATCACCAAAAAAATACAAGTTTAAATCTAAAATTGCTATAGGCAAGAAAAAAAAAAAAAAAAAAGTAAAAAACCAGTTACCTTTCTGTCAAATACACGTTCTCCTCAATAAGGTCAAAGTAACAGGGCATCTTTCCTTGCTTGGCAAACTCCTTCCAGCGCTGAGGGTCTCTGAAGTCATCCATGATACACAACCGACCGACCATGGCGGAGTCCTGCGGCGCCGGCTCCACTTGCTCCCCCTCCACTTTCACCTTCTTCTTCTCCCTCGAGTCCACGTCGCTCTCGGAGTCGCTCTCCAACTCCGGGCGTCTTTTTTTTGGTGGACCTCGTTCTTTCGCGTCGTTTTTTTCCAAAACTTTCCCCTCCTCCTTCTTCTCTCCACCAGGCACCAGCTCCTTGGTGGAATTGCTGCTGATCTCGTGTGCCTGCACCGAGCCTTTTTCTTTCTGCCCGGGCACCTGGCATTTACTCGAGGGGCTGGGAAAACCAGGCTTGCAGTCATCATCCCAACGGTCATCCCCTTCGTATTCCTCGTGATCCTCCGTTAGAGAATCCGGTACTTGCCCTTGAATTCGTTCGTAATTAACCGCAGAAGGTCTGCTAGCAGATCTCGCATCCCAGTAACCGTTGCCTTGCCAGTAACTCTGAGAGCCACCGTAGGCTCCTGAGCCCGGTTGGTAGACGTAGCCCGAGTAGACCCCGAAGCTGCTATCTGGCTGCTGGTAGGTGCTACTGGGCTTCTCTGACTGGGAAAAGTCCCAGCCCAAACCACCCAGACCCTCTGTTGTATGAAGACCATCCGGCCTGGAGAAGTCTCCAAGGCCAGACTGGTTAAGCCCACCCTTCCCTTGCCTACTGTCCGGCTTGGAAGAGCTCATCTGGTGTCGGGATTTATCGGTGCTTTCGAAACTCTCCGGCAGACAAAATGGCTGCTCGTCTTGTCGGCCGATCGGTCTACCAATGGACATCAGCTCCTTCACCATGATCCTCTCGTCTGCGTTGGGTTTGTCGTGGCAGTCTGCCGTCAGGTCTGCCTGACTTGTGCTGTCCACGCCGTCGCTCTGAGGCTGGCACGGATCTTGCCGC